GGCAAGGCGAGTTGCTTTGCTTCTTCTCGCGCTAACTTTATTCCTTTTTAAGTTTTAAATAGTTTCTTACTAGTTTTAATTAGGAAATTCATCCCTCGTCCCCATCTAACGGTCTATTAAGCTGCGAGGAGATCTACGCACGAATGCGCCTCTTCTGCGGGATAACCAAAAATTATATTTTTTTGCACCTTCCGATCGTATATGTGAATCTGAAGATTTCTAGCATCGGTATAATGGAAGCTTTCAACAGAGAGCCACATATCATTTTCGTGTAACAATTTGAGTTTAGAAAAGGAAAAAAGAATGCTAGGAGAAAATTATCTTGTTCTACTTGATTTGTTTCGCATTCCAAATGCTCCGCTTTGTTATAAGCTTCTTTCGTGACAAATATTATGATTTCGTTTAAAAAATACGTAATTAAAACGTTGTTACAAGTATTTACTTTATAATTACCAAACAACATAATAGCAAACATCCCTGCCTATAGTATCTCTCTTCTAAAGTCTTGAAAACCAACCCTCAATTTCCATCCGTAGCACGTCTTTTGCCCGCCAAAGAAAACATCGAAGAAGGGTCAAAAGAAGAGGGGGGAGCGCACAACGCAATGGGCTAAAAGAAAGAAGACTACGCCTTCACGGGGAAGATAAGAATGTCGGGAGGAAAAACAGAGAAAGCGATATCTTTCCCCAAGGGGTTGCTCGTATATACATCTAATCAAAGGCGCAAAGTAGAGGCGATCGATGCTTTACGCGGTCATGAAGGCCCGTACGTAACAAGAAGCTAATAGCAGCTTGAGATACGCCTTTTCAACAGCTCTTTTCAAGCTATTTTCAAAACAGAGGAGCTGATTGGGCTGTCGATATTTTTGATTCGAGAGCTTTACACATCCAGTGAAGAGTGCCAGTCAGAAGTCAGACGAAAGATCTATTTCGATTCAGATCGCACAAATAATTAAAAGCAAACTCAAATCTCAATACAGAAAACGTAAATAGCCTGTCTAATGAAAGAAAATCCTGGTAGTCGTTTTCCACTCATGAATCAGTAGTAACAGCAAGGCTTTCATCAGACTAGCCGACTAATAAAACGCCACAGCATCCAGTAAACGATTTCTAAATACCCTTCGCCAATGACGAAACCTTTCGGACACAGGCTTTAAATACAAGGGACGCATCCCCGACGGCCATAAAAACTCGTATATACACGGCTCTAGATTCGGTTTTTATGTCGTTCTAAAAAGTGACGCGGGGAGAGAAGAGATCGTAAAAAGTGCGCGGCCGGGTCGAGACCGTAAAAAGCGTGCGCAGTCTTATGCTGCTGCTACTTGCCGTGGCTTCTTCTTTGTCGGTATCCCTTTTTATTGGCATTGAGATCAAGTCAGCGGAATATTACTGCGGTTCGATCTGCAATACGCAAATGTTGCAAAAGCGAAACGAACTTTCTATAATTTATTTTATATTGTTATTATTTGTTGTTCTAGTAGTTATTCCCGATGCTTTATCCTTGTTCACCGTTTACATTGGAAAGTCAAAAGCGAAATGTTGACAATCTTTGCGCACAGCATTGGGAATTGGGCTCCTTTGCTACGTCATTGCGAACCAATTTTAAGAAACAAAATTAAGATGTCGCCTTTTCAGCGCTTCCACATAACAATGATGCGTCTTCTCGCTACGCTACTCCTTTCGCCTGCAGAATCTTTAGAATGCCGAAAAGTTGAATGAGAAATTTTTAATTGTGACAGCTTTTTAAATAAAAACTTGCGAAAAAACGAGTATAATCAAGAGTGGTCATTGCGCCTGGCGACTTGGCGGCCCGACGGGCAAGTTAAAAGTCTTAGCGCTAGGCGAATATATAGCGCGACGTTAAAAACAAAAGCACTCAAATTTATGACACAATCAAAAAGTCGTCTTTATTATTTTCCGTCCTCTCTCTCTCTCTCTCTCTCTCTCTCTCTCTTTCTCTCTCTCCTTTCTCCGGCTTCTTTTGTTACTTTACTTCCAGGAGACTCGTGCAGAACTTGCCTTACCTTAAAAGCAACATCGTGATTTATCAACTCGTTATTTTCATTGTAGAAAGAAATGGCTTTTACGCTTCTTTCTCACTACGTTTATTACCTTTAATCGTAAAATTATATGCGGTTTTTAGAGTACATTCGTTCCAAGTTATTTCTTATTAGTTTTGTGTTTTGCATTTGTGTAAGAAAATTTTTCTTATGGCAATGTCTAGACTTATCGATTAACATCAACGATGACTTCTCAATGATTATAAAACGATTATTCAAAGAGTACGAAAGATTTACAGATTATCCTATTTTACGAATTGATAACACGATATCAGAACAACAAAATTTAATCCATTATTTACCATCTCGATAACAATCGAAACACTTACGATTCTATAATTTTCCAAAAGAAGAAAAAATGTAGAAAAAACGTAGATAATTACATGGTGCAAGTTGGAAACGGATGTCTTGCTGAAGAGATGAATGAGCCGCGGCGGAATGGTCAGAGAACGCGGAAGCGGCAGCTGTTTCGGGTAGGCGACCCCATGCATAAGCGCTGGTAAACGGCCGACCTTTCCTTAGGGCCTCTCTGGTCATATATGTACGAGCGCGTGCAAATTTGCATACTGGTAAGACGCGTGTGCAGCTTGCGTGTGTCTATTCTCGTCGCCTCTCTCTGTCACTGTCTCGCATCTGACAGTTTCAGTTCACATTCGGCTCTCAGGACGATCAGCCGGCCAAATAAATCTATGGTCACTGCCATATAGCTGCTGGTCCTTTTTGGATATTTGGGTCAGTGTCGCGGGTGTGCTTATTTGTCCAAAGTGTGCAAAGGTGTGTAATGATAATTCGTTAACTATCAAGATCGGATTTCTTACAGATGAAAATTAATTTTATACAATTTCATATAATTTATTTTTAAATACAATTAAATATTTTGAGAATATTTCATTATCGGATTGACTGAACAAACCTTTTTCATCAAATTAAAGTGTATTATATTTGTGCTTTGAATTTCCAATTATTTAATCAAATCCAACCTTCTTAAGAATGAATTTTTTCACTATATACTCAAACAAGTATCACGTGGTATAAAAATGTTATCAACATTTCCTACTCACATTCTTTGTTAAAATTATGTTTGCGACGTTTTCAATCGTATAATTTTCAATAATTAAAAAAAGAAAAAAAAACACAACATTGCAGTGGAGAATACATCTTTCTCTAGCGAGTCAACTGTACATAAACCACAAGACGAGTAAGAAGCAGCGTGGAAATTCTCGCAAGTTTTTGCACATACCGAGACAGAAAGTCTTGAAGGAAACAAAAGCAAATCACAATTCCTTACATACCTTTCGCATTACTAGTCCCTCTTTCTCTCCTTCTTGGTCGTTTAAAAGACGATTCATCCCCTTTCATTAATTCTTGTACGTTTCAAAAGTTAGCTATATGCAATGTTTATGTTATTAATCTATCAATATTTTTGTAGAAGAAAATGATCCTTTTCTGATAATAATTTTAATTAGGAATTATTTTAATTTGTATAATTAAAAAACACAAAATTGACTTTATAAAGTACAAATAATGTTTATTCTGGATCACATGGCTGCGTAGAAGTTGTTTCTGTTTGCTCTGCTTTATTGGTTTTTATTAATTTAGAAATTTATTAAGTTACATACATACTCTTAATAAATTTTGATAAGTACTTGACGAAAGCTCACAACAAATGAATGGAATATATATGTGTATATAATTAACACGCGTTTTCATAGGATTAATGCATGTTTTTTCATAATTTATGTAAATAATTGTCAGAATACCCTCACGATAAAATCGTGGAGATACCTAATCTAACTTTATAATATGCAATATTCAAATCTTATATTCGTAATAATGATTAATAAATATCAATTAGATGATCATCAAGTTTGCAGTCATCATGTGAAAAGTATGATTGAAAATCGAAAAATACGAATTTCAAAATCCAGACAAGCTTGAAAAAAACGAAAGCAAATGAAACAAAAATGAGCCTTTCAGTTTTCCTTCCCGGTTAGTGAACGATCCACCCTGCAATTTTACGCCCCTCTCGTGCTATCCCCAACGCCCCCACGCGACTGATGTAAGATTTGCAAAGGGTAGAAGAAAGACAATGAAAAAAGGCTGACGCCATTTTTAATTTCGCGTAACTACCCCCACTTATTTACTTCTTTAGCGAATGTTCAAAAGAACGCGCCGTTCTCTCTGTTGCAATCAATAAATTCGACGCGTTTTCGCTCCTCCTACCCATATAGAAACGAATGATGCGGCATTTGGTTTTTTTCTACGTTTTGTGGATTTTAAAACTCTTTGCTTTGAGGTTCTTTACATATTAATTTTCATGAAAACCGGAAAATAATGGAGTTTCAATTTTAAACCAGTAATAACTGAAATAAAAAGACTGCAACAAAAACAAACTACTTTTAACAGTGGCATACTAGATTGAAAACGTACAAAGTCACTTTTTTAATTGGCAAGTGAATCACCACTAATTGACGTGGCTTCAATTTCAGACAATTGCCAGCGCCGTATACACTATTGATATGAAAAATAATGTTCACTTATTTTATATTTCTACTTGTAGTATTAAACGCAGTTAAAATGGAAACTCTTAAAAATTTTATATCAAAGATTTCAAAAATTTATTTACACAAAATTCTAGAAATAAAAGTGATTGTGCATTGAAACTTATGAAACTGACATATCAATATATAAATTGTTTGTTAAAGTTACGTTTAGCGAAGTGCCAACTAAAGTTTAAATAGTCTTATCTATTTGTGGCCCGGATTCCAATAAAAGCAGAAAAGAACAAATCAATTACGCAATAATCGCTTAACGCTAGTTCCGAGAAGATCATCACGTGGTCAGATGGCGACACGCATCAGGCCTCCTAATTTTCGTGAATCGCAACTAAAAGCAAACAGAGCGTTGTGTATATACAGACAAATCACATATATACGTGTAAATTTAAAAATTTCATATGTCAAAGAATTGTTGTCAAAGACACTCGTTGTCAGATAAGTGACGGTACATCTGAAAAATGAACGATAGCGGCCTCAGTGCGTGTCAATACACGTAACGATGAAGCTCGCTGTTTTGCTACTGTTCATCTTTGGCTTAACAGGTGGTGTGAAGGAAGGTACGTAAAAAGGGAAAAGAAAAAAATTGTCATATTTTGTTTAACAACAGCAAGTGTCGCGTGATGTGTGTAGATAAAACATTCTGGCGGAACATCGCGCAAAAGGAGTTGGAAGATGCTAAGTCATACACCTGGAACCACAATCGAGCGCACAATGTTATTTTGTTTATTGGGGATGGCATGAGCCCCGACACTATCACTGCCAGTAGAATCTATCGAGCCGGCGAAGAAAGCTATCTCGCTTGGGAGAAATTTCCTCATATTGGTTTGTTAAAGGTAAATAGATTTCCTCGCTGTTTTTCATGAACATCTTATTTAAATCTAACCTTCATCAATCACCTTTTTATCGCAGACTTATAATACAGACAAGCAAGCGCCTGATTCGGCATCAACTGCGACTGCACTGTTCAGTGGTGTAAAGACGAACTACAATGTGCATGGCGTTGACGCGAATGTCAAAATCAATGATTGTGAAGCGAGTTACAATGCCGACCATCGGCTTGACTCTATTATTGATTGGGCCCAAGCTGCTGACAAAAGCACTGGTAAATAGATTTTATGCACCTACCGCTGATAAGTTACACTTGCCTGGTTATTTTAGCAGCTTGCTTCAATGATTTGAATAGTTTGTTAAGGGCTGAACAAAATGGACTATCACTACTTAATAGGGTGTCGTGCTTATTTCTTTACGCCTTCTTAACACAATTTCGTATAAATAAGTCCTTTTCAACAGGAGATATTTCAAATAATATGGAACCATTTTTAAATGGCATATAATAATATTTCTCATACGATTTGCAAAACATTTATATGAAATATTTAATTACACGCATTATTTTTAATTTCTTCAGTTCTATAAAGTATAACTCAACGTACTCTTCCCTTGAATAATTTTTCTAATATTCGTTAGATTAATTAAACCAAGCGTTACACATTTTCGTTCTTATATTTCGAATCATTTTCAGAACAGATCCTGGTTAAACATCCTTTCATTAAAAGCGACAAAATGCTTATTGATAAAACTGATATAAAAATGTTTCACTGATGACCTAAAAAGAGTGAGTCAAAGCAGTATCAACTCCAACAAAACTTTCACTGCGAAAGAGTACGGCATGCGTTATTCTCTAAAAATATCTCGTTAACTTTCAAACAATGTACTTGTCTCTTTGAAGTTAAAAACAGATGGATTGCAAAACTACATTTTCATTTTATCTTGTTTTCTTTCATTCTTTTTATATACCCATATCTGCATTAAGCACTGCAAGTAGTTGAACCTGATATCAAATTGCTTAACGCATCCAAACAGGATTTGTTACGACCACGAGAGTTACACACGCGACGCCGGCACCACTTTATGCACACGGTGCTAACAGAAAATGGGAGTGTGAAACACCTAAAGGATCTATTTGCAAAGACATAGCCCGACAATTGGTCGAAAACGAACCTGGTAAAAATATTAAGGTTTGTTGTTTTATTCGTTTGCGTGCATGTGCAAACAGAATGTTTCAATTGTTTCCTTATATAAAGTGTTATGACTTATTCAGGGCCAAATCTGATAAAGCTTATTGATATTTCTTATTAATGATCATACTAATTATCGAGAAAAAAATATGTTCTTGAATGTTACTCAGATAAATCTTACTTAGTTTTAAAATTTGATGACGTAACTTTACAAGTGAATGAACAAATGGGCAATTTACTGTCATATTCCAATAATAGTAGTAATTAGGGAAATTACAAATCAATCTTAATTTCAATAGGTGATAATGGGTGGCGGTAGGCAGATGCTTCAAACTAGGTTTAACGTTACAAACATAGACCCACTAGACATATGGGCAGGACAGCGTAAAGACGGTCGTGACCTCATTGACTATTGGATCCAAGATAAGAAAAACCGAAGTTTGTCATACAATGTCGTACAAAATAATGAACAATTGGCTAGTGTTGATCTCATCAATACAGACTACTTACTGGGTATCTTCGCTAATGGACACATACCCATGGACTACATGAGAGATAAGAGTGGAAAAGGACAACCAAGCCTAGAAGAGATGACGGTTACTGCTTTAAAAATACTTCAAAAATCTTCTAACGGCTATCTACTCGTGGTGAGGTGACGATGTTTAACCGATAAGGAAAGAAACGAATGACAAGCTCGTTTGGGTGTTCCATGAGATCATGAAACGTATCTGATTTGACTACTCAAACGAATTCTTGGTCGTTTCTCATCAAGCTAATTCGTGATAATTTTGATCTCATTTTTCACACATCGTTGTCTAGCATAATTTATTGTCGATTGATAACGATGAGAAATTATTTTGAGAGATAGGCCTAACTGATAATTTTGAAAGCGTATCGATAAAGCATATGACAAGCTTAAAAAAACAGAGACTATAAATTCTCTAGAAATAGATGGTCAAACATTATATTTTTTCATTTAAAAATCTTAGGTATTTGACTTTGAAAATTATACGTCATTATGGAGAAATATCCTTTTTCTACTACGCTATACATAGTGAAAAACTTTTATTTCTAATTATTGTTTGGTATACTGATTATATACAAATGTCGAACGAATTTTTTAACGCCACATAAATAATAGACTACAGAAAAAACTTAAGAAAAGAACAATACATTTTTAATGAAGCTCCAACATCATGAATAAAAACCATAACAAAATAAAAATAATAAACACCTGCAATATTCACATATTTCAATCCTGACAAATCGTTTGTATCGCTAACTTATTTCAGGTTGAAGGTGGTCTAATTGATTTTGCGCATCATAGAGGTCACGCAGCTCAAGCACTTCTGGAAACAGTCCGGCTTTCCGACGCCGTTAATGCCACTCTGAGGATGGTGAATCCCGAAAATACTCTAGTCATCGTTACCAGTGATCATACGCACTCACTAGCCTTCAATGGTAACAGTAAGCGTGGTAATAGCGTTCTGGGTAAGGAACTTTATGCGGAGAAACCCAAATTGATAAGTAATAATATTGCGTTGATTAATTTTAAGGAAAATAATTTTTAAAATAATGTTTTTCTACAATCTTACTTTTTTATTGGTAATTTAAATATAATTTGATCAGATCTGCCTCTGAAGTGCTTAAAATGTTTGCAATGTACATATCATTTCATGAGTATAATCACTATATTATTGTGGTTATTATTTATAATATTTAAATGAAAATGTAGTCTAGAATGAAATTATACGTGATTGAATGATTTAATACTATTTTATCAATATTTGTTGTTGATAATCCAAAAAATGAACGTATATTGCAGGAATCGCCGAATACTCGAAAATAGACGGAATTCCCTACACAACCCTATCATACAGTACTGGTGGACCAAACAACAATGCCTACACCATCGTGAAGAACGACAAAAATGAATCCTTCGCTCAGCGACTAAATTTTGAGAAATTGCAATCTAACACTGAAGATTTCACCTACAGCCAACAAGCTGCCATTATCACGGACGAAGCTCATCATGGAGGCGGCGACGTGGCTGTTTATGCACGCGGTTAGTGACTCACTAATCAATTGTCATTTTTATAAGTTTCGAAATGTCATTCTTTGTAAATAGATCTTACCACATTTACGCTGAATATTTTTATAGATTGAAAAAGCCATTCTTATATAATGATCAAATATTAGATGAATGTTCAATATTTTTGAAGGGCTGTTGCACCAAAACTCTTACGTAAAAAATAAAGGGATACGTAATATTATGAAACTAATTATGGATGTCATAATAATGAATTGACTAGGAAAGTTTTTTCATAAATAATAAGCCGCACTTCGCATAGACAAATTTCTTTTAATAATATATTTTTCTGGACATAGATTTATCTTATTCCTGACAGTAGTATCTCGCTTATATCACAAAGAGACAATTACAGCAAATAGAACGTCGCGAGCAACTTACGGAACTATGAATCTGAATATTTAAAACTAGATGTCTTGTAATAATAGATTTTTCTCTCAGCAAAAGAAAAATGATAGGTGTTTTACATATAAGTGCGTGTCTATTTTTTAAATGCGCATCGATATACATAATTAATTATCCCTTTTCCTCCAGGGCCGTACGCTCACCTATTCCACACGACCCACGAGCAAAATTTCGTGGCCTACGTGATCGCCTACGCCGCCAGAATCGGTCCCTACGCCAATCATTCGTCGACTAGTCAGTGGAACTTTATTTGGCTTGGCAGTCTGCTCAGCCTTATTCGCACTTTCTACGCTTACTGACAAATTTGAACAGGCCAATCAATTGGCGGTTCTATATTTTACAAGTGTTCTTAAATAAATTTTAAATTTGGTGAAAATATCAACAGACTACAAATAAATTTTCTGCTTGGAATGTATTTTAAAGTATTTTTGAGATAAAGTATTATTGTATTGAGATTGAGTGGTATATACATTCCGTCAAAAATTAAGTCAAAGGATTTTGTTCGTTTATTTTCATAATAATATGAAAATGAGTATTCAAATATGAATTAGTTATAATTAGAGATTATTTTATTAAAAAATATATTTTTTGATTTTATGTCAGTAGTATGGAGTCATTTACGAAATTTCGGATATTTTCACCAAGATCAACCAAGTAACAATAATGATAACAATAATGATAGATTTAATATTGCTAGTATTAAATCTACCTCAGCGCACAACATGTGAAAAGAGACAGTTTATATATCGTTGAAGTTTCTACACATTTTATGGAGTTTAATAAATATAGCAATGTAATAAAAAAAATGACAAAAACAATCAACATTATTCATTCAAAAACAGTATCCCAATTATAATTAAAATAAAACATTGCAAATGAGCCGCATTCCAATTGTGAGTGAAGAAATTATTATAGAGCTTTAAATTAACATATACTATATTCGAAACTTTATTTTTTTCGCTCACGTTATTCGTATTTACAAACAAATATGTTAAAACGATTTTTATTTTCAGTCTTATACTGCAAAGGATAAGGTATCTTAAGCTAATCATCCTTTAATTTCATCAGTCGACACTGAATTTTTAACCTTTAGGAAAGTGCTTATGAAACATCACTATTACGCTTGTTAACTGCGATGAAAGTTCTTTATCAGCCTAACTGTAGCCTTTGAACTTTGTGTTTTCTTTTTCCTTTCTCTCATATTTTTTTGCTATCCTCCTTCACTTAATTTCAATGCATATGTGTATGATAACGCGTGTATATGAAATTTAATGCTGGGCGAACTAAACTTAAATTTGCGTATTTGTACCTATATCATGGTCGTAAGTAGTCTACTTAAGAAAAAAAATATTTTCGTATAAAGTTGTACAAAATTATTACGACGGAGAAATAAGAGTAATTTAAGTTTGACACAAAAGTACAATACGAAAATTTTTCATAATAAACTTTAACCATTGATAGGAGTATGCTAGAAAATTAAATGCAAGAAGCTGATGTTTGTATGAAAAATGTGCTTGAATACTCCTTGCAGATTATATGAAATCGCATCGGTTTCTTCAAATAGTCAGAGTGCTCTGCTATATCAATCATAATTATTAAATTTTTAATTGTTACCCAAGTGTTGAGAGCAATTATTCACAACAATGAACAATTTATTGATAGAACAAAACATTCCAAGACAATTTCAAGAAATCTCTGAAGATCCTCATCACAAGTGTTTTATTTCATCAATTTTCATGATTTTCTAATTTTTAATATTAAATTTGCTGACTTAATCTTCTAAATAAAATATACAGCTCAATACAAAAATATAAGCTAATTATATTAAAAGAATTAGAATCTTTAAATTCCTTCGGCATTCGAATACCGATACATTTTTGCGACAAAAAAAGTCATATAATTCATTCAGTAGATTTTTACGTCAATGCAAATCAGTCAAAAAGTATTATAAATCCAATTATTTCAAAAGACGAGTGTTGAGGAACATACAGAATTCAAAGCCGAGTGTTTGTGACGGTACGAACAAAAGAAAAGCAACGACTTAAATTAAATAATTCATTCTTCTTTACTCTTTTTCCTCCTCTCTTCTTTTTTCCTTTGATGTGCAATTGTATCATGGAACATAATCTTCATTGATATACATGCAAGCAGAACCAGAGAACTAATGAGGAAGATGAATCCAGGTGTGTACTTGCCAAAAATGAGTAGACTACAAAGTCCAATCAGTTGGAAAAGAAGAACCAATGGTGTAAGGTAAATTGCAGCAGCAAGTAGAGCTGGGGTTTTCTTTGGTTTCTCTTTCTTAAACGTGCAAAGTTTAGCTCTAGGTTCACTCACTTCAACGGATTTTCTTAGCTCAATGGTTTCTTTTTTGGAAAGTAATACAGATTTTTGTTGAAGACCATTAATAACAGCACGGCGTGCACTTGTGTAAATGATCAACAGTCGTTCAATAAAATTCTTGAGTATTAAGTCAAAGCAGATGTTGACTTTCTTTGCCAGTGGATGTGACTTTGAGTTTTCAAATGAGTATAGCAAAAATGGAAAAAGATTTAAGTTTTGGCAGCAATGGCGAATCTTCTGAGAGAAAAGAGAAGGTGGCCCACTGTAAGTTCCATCTGTTAATAAAAAATTACAATATTTAAATAAAATAAAGTCAATGACTGAAACAAATTGAATAAAAAATTGATTTGCTATAAAACATGGTCTTTGAAAATAATTTATTTACATACCTTTGAACATGTCAGACACACGCCTGACTAAAGTTGAAGTTTTCTTAGCGCTATCTCCTTCTTGAATGAAACTTGACTTATTCATTTCGGTAAGATGTTGCAAAATATACTTATACAAAAAAAAGCTCCACAATGACTTTGTTTAGAGTCTGTTACTCGTCTGGCTGTTGAATAAAAGACTGGTGCACAGGATGCAGATATCGTTCCTAAAAACAAGATACCACAATACAAAGTAGATTACTTGGTCCAATAAAATGAAGGCAGAATCACTCGCACAACAGATGCATAACCCAAACTAATTCTTATCAGTTTTATTTTTAGACCAGCAGAAATAAAAGCTCTTATTGCAAACAAGCTTTTTCATTTGAATTACTTTTTCAAGTCATTAAATAATTGAAAATATTTAAGCACTAAAGACTTATAAGGGTAAAGAGGAATATCTGTCAACTAATAAAAAAATAGCAGTTTTAGACTATAGTTAGAATATGACAAGATTTTATTTTAAAAAAACTTATGATGGTAAAAGACTATCTTGAACTGCAACAAATATTTTCAGATTCAGAGGCCTTCAAACAGTATCATGTGTACTTAAAGACTCTGATCACACAGAACTTTTTACGAAAAAATCATGTGGTTTGATAACCCTGAGCTCTGAGATTGCAACACTGCCTAAAAGACTGAAAAAATCATGTAATTAAATTGCTAATCACTCTTCATAGCCAAAGCAGGAACATTTACATTAACCAGTAATAAATGATTCGATAAGAGGACATTTGCTTGTCTGTTATTTCCTTATCAAGACAAATTTTTGTCATCACCATCTAGTTATACATGTTTCTCCATTCATGCTAACATGACCTCCGCAATCATTGAACTTACTAATTACAGAAATAATATAAATAATTTCTAATCAGTGTTCAAAATATAAAATTTATCTTAAAATTTAAACTAGAATGCATTCATCTTTCTATAACTTCAAAATACGATTAAGGCAATTTTGCTCAACTTGAATTACATTTTTTATTTTTTAGACATTGAAAATGAAAAAGAAAACGAACACGTCAACCCCTTACAAAGCAATCTCGAACCTAATAACCGATAAATCGCAGTGTAGCCTAGGAAAATTCGCAACCTATCTCTAATTGATAAAACAACACTTCTCACTCGACAATGATTCAAATGCAATCAATAAATTAAACTCCATTAACTCTTCAAGTTTTATCAGACAATTACGAAACGGAAGCATTTTCATACCGTATAACGTCCTACAGAATTAATTCGAGTTTAATAAGGTTATTTAAAAAGTCACGGTGAGGGAGAAACTTCTAGGTTCTTTACAACACCGACACTAACAGAACGCAGAAAGCGTATGTACGTATAGACATATATATATATACACACATATACGTACGTACGTATGTATGTACCACGCTAATATGCCGGTTAATTCTGTCATTTTGTTTCTATTTCACGCCGAGGAATCAACTTAATGTATTACCTAAGTATGCTCTGTCAACAACTTTTGCCACACAATTACATTTTCATGCATGAAGCTCAATGGTAGCCCTTGATTAAGATATATCAGCAACAACTCAGTTATCAAATGCAAGTTATTTAACATGTTAATGAATTTTGACAAGCAGCTAATGAATTCATTATCTGATAACATATAAGCATACAACCATTCGAAATTTAATCAAAAGTTCTAAGTTTGTCTAAGAATGCGACAAAAATGTAGAACGATTAGGCGGGAGAAAATGGTACAATGCATGTACTTTTCGACACCGAGTAAGGTTAAAATTCGAAGGCGAAACAAAGAAAAAAACTCACCTTGAAAAATTTCGGAGCAGAGTAGTAGTAACGATAGATATCTTTGGCTTGAGAACCGTCTTGCTGTATCGGTCAGAACGTGCTAAGCAAGAATAAATCACAATGTAGCTGTATAGGTTCCTGTTTGAAACTCCTCGACAGAAGTTTCCTTGGCAATATAAGCCTAACTATACTTTTTATAAAGGTTGAAGACTGTTGGAAACTCGCGAAATATGCCCATATTACACCTTCCAGCTTTGCGTGAATCACTCACTGCCTAACGCACGTCGTCGTCTTTACCGAAACACCTGCGTGAAGCAACAAAAATAAACTGCCAAAACCTGACTCGACTCTAACGCGGTTCGCGCACGAATGTGCTCAGCCGCCCGAGTGCTGCAGAAGTAACCATGGCCGAAAGAGTGGGGATGCGTGAAGAGAAGTTTCATGCCATGAAGCCAGTTTGCTTCGCCGCCAGAAGCGCATATTCGCAGGGCCAGTGGTATAGGCCAACAAATATATCTCTATCCCCACCTTTATCTCGATGGGGAAATTATGTATGTTAAACGACGTCCAATCTGTAAAAATTGAGGGCGCTTTTTCGGGCGTTGTGAGTTGGAATTTTATTTATCAATCTGTTGACGATCAAGTAGCGTTTTATTGATTACAATAATTTCCTCGTTGGCTTCTGTTTGATAATCAAGTGTATGTAAAGTTAATCTAAGATTGTTGATTATTTAATGGCATGATGGCAAAATATGAAAACGCGAATATTTATCGTAAGCCAAACGTTTATCACGCTATGTTGAACATTGCCTTCAGCAAATAATACTTAAAAAAAATTATTTTTTTATAACACTTGATTTACTGAAAAATACGTTGTTATGCTGCAATCAGACTTTTTAATCAATTTTAATGTTGATTTGAAATTTTCATTTAATTGCGACAATAAGTTCAAAAATAAAAAAATAATAGATTGAATCATAGTATAGCAGTACTACAATTATAGAATACATTTGAGCTATCTTTATAAGTTATGAACTTAATTACTTGTGAAGTAAGTAAAAACATTAACTGTAATGAGAGAACTTTTTGTTTCAAACGCAAGGTACAGTAAATTTCAAAGTATCTTATACTTTAAAAACTATCCAGATAAAATGTAAAGGAATTTTCAAACATAATACACGTGATTCATTTTCATTTCCAATAATTACATCTATGCGTGAAATTAGAAAATGTCTAAACAACAAAAATATTGTGAAAGTTGAGCAACGATATAGAATTAACAGACAGTAGCGACGAACTTACAATACACCGTTAGAGTTGCTAATAGTCAAGAGTAACCGTAGCACTAACTCTTCGATTTCGCAAGCCTTTCCACCAACGTTTTGCAGTGACCGGCATGCTCTGGGAATACGAATGTTGTGTATAAGCGAACAATATAGTCGACGAATTTATAATTGAGCCTCAAGTACATTTGGTCACGTAGACACACTGCGCGAGCGAAGGAGAATTTTTTTACGTCTCAATCTGCGTCAAGTTCTCCACAATTCCGCGATAAATTTTTAGTAGGACAGTGTGTCTGCAATCGAAGGAGGACGACACCAACCTCATGTCAATGACTCATGTCAATCTATTTGTCGGATCAAAGTACATGCCTGCATAAAACGATAATGGCGCGCAATGACATCTTGCATATTATTCAATTTAATTGTTTCAATTAAACAATTTAAATATTTCATCGACGGACGCTTTTCCGGCAATCATAAAATTTATCTTTCAAATTGACACGAAAACAGGTTTATAAGTTAAATAATAATTGACATTTTTTAGTTCATTTACATATTTGTGTTTTCATAATCAATAATCACAGTCAATATATTATTATCTTCAATAACATCATTTTATCAGATTGTAGAACCTTGTACTTTGCACATTGCTCTAAATTATTGTTTTTTCCACAGTGCACATTCGTGCAGTATTGAAGCTATGTAATAAATAAAGAATGCTGGCGCCGAAGGACACTATCAAATATTTTCAACCTTTGAAAAATATCTACGTAAACAAGAAATTATTTATCAGCGTAGATGCTGTCTGGGTAGTTTCCAGTTCTTTATTATTATTATTATTATTGTTATTATTATTTTTTTTTTTCAAAATAAAACGTGTTACATCGAAAACATGATACATAATATGTAAGATTGCGGAATAATGGACTTTGACCACAACACGCTGTATTATGAAACTTGTAATGAATTCTTTCTTTTAAAAAAACCGAGAGAACGAGAGAAACGGGAAAATGCGTGTCAAGTACTGACCGACAAAATACTGAACTTTCTTTAAAAAAAGGCAAAAAGAAAAAAATTGTAAATATAAATGCAAAGGTTTTTAACGTGAGCGTATAGAAACCACGAGTTGCAAAGTTCAAACTCTCACTCGTGAATACATGCATATAAACATCCTTGATTAGTCTAATATGTTTTCAGAATTTCATCCTACCTATAAAGATGTCCTCGATCCGAGAATAAAGAAAGAAGATGTAGGAGACGTGACCTACAGCACGTCCAAGTAGAGCGAGAAAAAACAATATGTATAATCGATATTACCGCGTGAGCTACTTGATTCTACAATGTAGCATTGTATTTTTACTGGAAAGTCGCCAACGTGATAAGCATCAGAGTACCGCGTCGCGATCGATTTATCATTGATCTGGTTCATAGCAGACAAACTCTTTCCCCGAGAGCGTGTCTGTCTGGCCGTCTGGTCACTGATAGATACGCGTGTGTATCGCTTCTGCAAATGTATCATTGTGGGAGAGACAGACTAACAAATTGCGAGTAATATGATATAATCGAACGCGACTGTCACGGGCTTCGTTCTGCACACGCTGAGAAATACATTGCAGTTCCTTACAAATCAAAGACGACAATTTTGTTTACTTGACGGTCAAGAGATTGTTCAAGCTGTAAAATGCAATTTTTTATATTTCTGATGGGATATCTGGACCTATTTGATTAGATGGCTAGCGAATTTCTATTCCAACGCTAATAAAATCAAAGCCAACGAATGGATAATTTGTATCTGTACTAAAAAATGAAACGACGATAATTAATTTACAGTTAAAAATGTTGTCCATATCAATAAACGACAACAGTAATATTTATTCAGCATCTTTGGTATCGTCTCTTAATTAAGGAAGGTAGAAAAATTTTCTCTGTACTAAACCCCTATAGTCAGAATAATAGAATCACTGCAGCAGCTGCTCAAGCTGACAGGTACAGGTTCTCGTGCAGTCTCTCTTCCCATCTAGCCCGTCTGGATAATCTCAACTAAACGGCGATCACGTGAATAGGCATCCGTGAAAATCAGTGCTAAACACGTGATGTACCTGAGCAGTCACCATGGGAATCATTCCATGGAGCTACTTATAATGCGTAAATTTATATCTTGGAAAGTAAAACCTAAATTCATCTATTTTATTTCTAGTTCTTCAGTTCTGCAGAGCAATGAGCAATGGAAAAGTCCACGATAATTCTTCAAGCTGTCAATAAATTTTGATGAGTCTTTTTATTACCTTCGCTAAAATATGAATTGTTCTCAAGTCAATAATTATATTGTTGACAGTTTTTTTATTCCGACAATGATATCTACAGTTTAATTTTTTTTTATTTTTAGAGATTTTTAAATCAAAAAATTTAGATTTGTGTAAAAACCTACTTCAAAACAACAATGGAAAAGTCATGAATACTAACAGGATTTGTAGTAACTGGCTTACTGCATGGAAATAAGCGCATTCTCCGACGGCGAGTTATTTTACGCTGCCTTAGACGTAAGAAAATTCGCAAGCGTGTGCACATCTAAAACGCTAGCTCTGAACCAACATATAAAACTAGAAATCAACATTAATCCAAAAAGCGATAACTTGAAAATTAAGCGACATCTTCGATTCTCAAGCGCTAAACAGAATTGTTAAGGAAAACAAGGCACAACAGCACGATTCTGCGTACCGCGCGAGAACACGTTCGATTCCGATAAACCAGAATGGTAAAGTGATGTTTTTGCATTCGCAGGCGCGTTTGAGGTTCGCTTCTGTCTAAAAATACACGCATACTCTTGTCCATATAATTATTCGAGGCACGGAGGTGCACTGCCAACAAAAAGTTAGTAGCCAAACCTACTTTTCTTTCCCACCGATATGTGCGTATTTCTTTTCTTTTTTATTTATTTATTTTATTTTGTTTCGTTCCACAAAGATTTATCTGCAAAAAGAAAAGGTTCGGCCTTGAACACGTAAAAGCTGTGGTTACTTGTTTTATCGGATTCTCCGTGCATCTGAAATCAATCTACTAAGCTGTTGTCTTCAGCTGATAATGTTAACAATCAATCGAAATCGTATGTTCGAAAAAGTTACGTCATGGGCGCGATTTTGATCGATTATCTCTCTCATTGATGGTAATTTATATGTCCTGTTTGTATTCATTTTGACCAAAATCCTCTTATTATGAAAATCATCGCGTCGAAATCTAATCAAAATAAAAATCATATTTTTGTGTATGCTGTAGGTAAGCGACATCTGCTTTGCGTTCGAGCTCAAACCAAACCAAACTTATATATACATTGAACTTTCTTATCGTGCGAATCATAAGGAGTTAACAATGTTTTTCCAGCTGAGACTAATATTTGAACTTTCTCGAGACAAGTACGGCGCAATACGAGTTTTGTAAATCAGCAAAATTTTCTTCCAAAGGCTTCTTCAGAAGAATTTTCATTTCTTAAAAATTTGATGTTTAGATGTTATAACGATATCTTTTGTAAAGCATACTTCATAGTATATATTTTTTAACGACCATCTGTTTAAAAATTTTAGTGCAATATACATAAAATTAAAGAAAACTTCCAATACTGACTCACGTATTATTTTGAAACAGCCAGCTATTGACGTATTCTTCAGTTTCTTGATACCAAAATTGAACGTTGAACAAATTTACTCCACAATCTTGACACGTGCTTCATGCCCTTATCCTCAGCATAGCAACATGATTACTGATGTACGCTTAAAAGAGAAATAAAAGTTCGATTAAAAAGAAACGTTGATATGTAACAATTAATTTATATATAAAAATACAAAATGATTTATAACGTTACTGGTTATTCACAAAACCCTAAATTTCTTGACAAGAAAAAGTATCACGTGGATTGATAGAGCGATATAGTTAATCACTTGTAAACCTATCATTCAATAATTCACAATCTTCGATTTATCATAACGTAACTGTAACAAACAAAATATTTTCAACATTCACTGCATTCTAAAAATTTCCAAAAAAAAGAAAAAACATTTGTTATATCCATATAATCATTTATTAAGTATAGGTTGATACCGTAAACGCCAAATTCGTTTCGGTCAGCAAAAAATTCAAGGTCTTGTACAGTTTTTTTTTGGCGTTCATCGGTCAGGGAAGACCCGAGCAGAAGATATACTCTCTTCCAGC